AATACACTTGGCTACACCTACCATACAACCCGGAAGTAATGAAGTGTTTTTTTTTTTATTGACGTGTTAAAAAAAAACTCGGTTCAAACTTTCTCTTTGACTTTCATCTACTTGTTTATTGTTTATTTTTTTTCTCTGTGTCTGTTTCCACGATTTTTGTCTCCGATTTTTATTAAGTTTTGTCTCTAAGGAAACAGTTTCGATGACTGAGTACATCACGTGTCTTTGGGAGAATTAGTGTTCTTATACCACGTCTGTACAATGCATATTACGTGTTGTTTTTTTTTTTTTTTTTTTTTTTTGTTCAGGTTATATGCTGAATATATATTATTTATTGTTTTAAATATAAATATATTTTACATATAAATATATTTTGTTCAGGTTATATGTTATATGTTTTTATATGTTCTTATACCACGTCTCTACAATGCATTACGTGTTTTTCTTCTTTTTTTTGTTCGGGTTATATGCTTAGAATATTTATGAGATGAGCTCAAGGCAGTGGTCGTTTTATTTGCTCTGTGCAAGCTGAGAAAACGGATGGGTGTTGTGTGGGTGATGGTGAAGGGTGAGGTGAGGTGTATAGAGTTGAGGGAGAGAATAGTATTGGCAGTGTGGTGATGTGCCGAGATGGTGTTTGTGATGGTGATCGGAGGTGGGGTGGGTGTGGTGGGCTTGTGTTGTGTGAAGGGGGTGGTTTGGTGGTTCTTGTTATATCAGGATGGTCGTTGTGGATGTGTGTGGTGTGGAATTAGTTGTCGTTGGTGATGTGTGGGTGGTATGCAACTGCTGGTTTGCTTGTCGTGTGTATTGGTGTCTGGCGGTTGGAGTTTGTGTGGCGTATGTGGGAGTGTGATGAGGGCGACAAGTGATGTGTTTATTATATTGTGTGTATATTTGGTGTATGGTGGTTATGGACGGTGGCATACGACTGTTCCCCGTGTGATATGCCGCCCGAGGTGTGTGAGAGGTGGGCGGTGCGGATTGTGTGGGTGTGGTTTGTTTAATGTGGTTATGGTGGCTGCCCGGCTGTGGGTATGAGTTGTAAATAAGGAGAGGAGAAGGTGTGTTGTGGGTGTGGAGGTTGGGAGAGGTGGACGTTGTGTTGAGGTTGAAATCTATGTGAGGTGGGTATGTGATGTAGTGGGCTTCGTGCGGGATGTTGATGGTGTGTGGCTCGTGTGATGCGAGGTGAGGTTTATGGTATGTGAGGTGAGATGAAGGAGAGTTTTGTGTGTGAATGTCTGTGTTGAGTTGAGGAATGAGTTGTGGTGTGGTGTGGTATGTGAGGTGAAGTGAGGTGTGGTGTAAGGTGAGGTGAGAGTGAGGGTGAGGTGGTTGGTGTTGGGTGACGTGTGAGTGAGGAGAGGTGTGTGTGGTGTGATTTGAAGTGAGATGAGGTGAGGTGAGGTGGGGAGAGGTGTGGTGTGACGTGTGAAGTGAGATGAGTTGAGGTGAGGTGAGGAGAGTTGTGGTGTGGTGTGATATGTGAGGTGAGGTCAGGAGAGGTGTGGCGTGGCGTGTGATGCGAGGTGAGATGTGTGTATGTGGTATGGTGAGGTAGAGATGGGAGGTTGAGTGTGGTGTGAGATGTGAGGTGAGATGAGAGGTGTGGTGTGAGGTGAGGTGATATGAGATGAGGAGAGGTGTGGTGTGAGGTGTGGTATGTGAGGTGAGATGAGGAAAGGTATGGTGTGGTGTGGTGTTGATGTGAGGTGAAGTGCAGTGTGGTGTGGTCTTATGCAGTATATAGATAGCTGGATTAGCGTTCACACGTGGACTTATTTAGATTGTGCGTGTACAGTATCTAAAGTATATGAGTCTGTGTATCCATGTGTACATGCCTGTACGTCGAAGCATTTGTGTATGTGCGTCTGTATGAGTGCGAGAATGTGTGCTTGAGCGAGAGAAAAAAAAATACACGTGCAAGAATTATTTCGCTGAGTCACCGTGACTGTGCTTGCTCGCTACACACCCCTACCCCCCTCTCCCCCCCCAAAAAAAAAACCCTACAATAAAACATAAGAAATACTACACCCAAACTCATGCCGAAAAAATTATACTCCAACAAACTTCACGATACGTCTTTCACAAAAAACACCCACGCACAACGCACGCAATTTTTCAGCCATTAATCACCAACCAAAAAGAAAGATTTAATCAATCACAGAAATCCGAAGTGACAGAGAGAGAGAGAAAGAAAACCAGTTCTTTCCGTCTAGGAAGCAACATCACGATGACTTGGCATGTTTATTTAGACGGTTTTTATTTTAGCGTTTGCGTGCATTTAGTCATGGCAAGTTGTCGTTTTTGTTTTAATTGTGGTAAGTGTGGTGATTAGCTTGTCTTATCTATAGTTTCCATATACATTTTGTGAGAGGGGGCCGTATTATGGCGCGTATATATCTATATCATCTATCTATATGTATATATCTATTCTATATGTATATATCTATCTATATTTAATATAATATATTATATATATATATAATATATATATGTGTGTTGTTGTTTGTGGTGTGTGTGTGTGTGTGTTATGTATTACCACCACACAGACACACACACACACTACACCACACCCACCACCACCACACACACACACACACACACACCAACCACACATATTATATATTAGTATATATATATATATTATGAGATTAATATATATATATATATTATATATGCGTGTGTGGGTGTGTTGGGTGTGTGTGTTGTGGTCGTGGATTAATTGTCATTCTTTGGTGGTGTTCTTGTGGTTGTGTGTACAATGTGGTGTGCCGTGGTGATTCTTGTCGTGTGGGTCTATTGTGTGGATTATTCGTCTTTTGTTGTGTGTGTGGTTTGTATGTGTGCTTTTTGTGAGTGTGTTGTGCTGTGTTGATTTGTGTAGTGTGTATGTGTTTGTGCTACTGCTGTGTTGGGCTGGTTGTGTGTGTTTATGTTTGTTTGTGTGTGTTGATGTGTATTGATGTGCTGTATGGTTGTGTGTGTTGTTGTTGTGTGTGTGTCGTAAGTGTGTGTGGCTGAGATGTTATTGTGTGTGTGGTATGTGTGTGATGGTCTTGGGATATTTATAAAATGAACAATAATCGTGTCTTGTGTTGACGTGTGTATGTGATTGTGTGTGTGTGTGTTGTTTTGGATATTAGATGTGGCGTTGTGTGTCGTGTGCTGGTGATTGCTGGTTGTGTTGCTGTTGCCCTATTGCGGTTGCGTGCGTGCGTGACGCGGTATGCTGTCGTGCTGTTTGGTTCGTTAATGCTGTGCGTGGCGGCTCTGGTGCTTGTGTCGTGTTGCCTGTGTCGTGTTGTGTGTGTATGAATATATATGAAATAGATATACCATATACATTCATGCATAATATATACATACAACACATATAATATATTATATTATATATATATATATTAATATATATATTTAGATAGCATCACATAATTATGTATTATTTATACCCACCACTACACACACACACACCACACACACACACCACACAAACCACACAACATATTTATATATATATATATATATATATATAACATGTATTAATATATACGATATATATATATTATATATATGATAGTAATATATATATAATATAATAATATATATATATACATAATACATAATACATAACATATGACTATACCTACATGCATAGCCACCCCCTCCACACACACACATATTGGAAACTTTGTGGGGTTGCACATTCTCACGTCGCCGCGTTTGGCTACTTTTCCCATGGCTGATAAAGGCGGGATTGTACACGGCATCCGTCACCGGGCATCCTAGGTTAATCAATGCAGTTACCAAAATAAAACAGTTCGCGATGCATATGTACCCCAGCTGGCAAGCACACACGCTCTACTTAACAAAAGTGCGTTTTACTCAATCGGGTGATAAGGTCTTGGCTTTTATAGATACGAAATAGAATGTATAAGTAAGACATGGAATGGTTTATTTGCTGTTTCACTCTCCGTAAGTCTTCGAAAAGGTATAGAGTTATGATGATTGCAATACAGCTGGCTTTTGTTTGTGGGTTAATTTAAATACTACAGTACTCAATGTCTCATTACCAGTTCTTAAAGACCTCAGACCAGCTGGCGCCACACTGCACTATCGACCTCGTTCTCTCTCTTTCTCTCTCTTTGAAACCGAGGAGATATGAAGGTCCTTGTCAGCTCTCTTGCCTGAAGGATTTCCACCCATCCCACAGCGCTCAGAGTTATGAAATTATTACAGGTTCCATCCCTCGTGCAGTGGACACTTCATACGCTGAAATGTCATGCGTATTTGTGTTTCAGTCCGTTGACATGTTCAATATCATCATGAACCATTTAATTCCACTCTCTAGCAAGGTTATGCAATGTAATGCTAAGTATTGTATCCTGTATTTATCAAATATAAGAGAATTGAAGAAGTACGTGATGTAGTGGCATTGGGAAGGTCACGTAGAGAGCGACGTGCAAATCTGCAAAGTGAAAATGGAGAACCTTCCGTTTTAGTGACCGGGTTGTGGGTTGCAGGTTCGCGTGCAAAAAATATTTCCATCTATGCCCAGCTTTTTTGTACATATACTCTCTCACTATTTATTAGCTACGCTTACTACTCTACTGTACTTCTACCTACCTCTTACCACCTCGAGACGTATATATGAACCCAACTCGTTACGACATTTTGCTTTTGCCAAAAAAATAAACTAGCCTGGAACAGATTTTTTTTTCATTCTCGGCAGTGTAAGAAAGCGTCCATTGAACATATCCCTGTAAGAATATTTCTACTAGATACCCAAAACCACATTTCGTTATATAGATATTTTTCCTTAACTCTCTCCTATACACACTATTAATAAAAGACCTCCTCTTAAACATACATTCATTACAATCATACAAATCGATACACATACCCACACATACACATCCACCCTCACATACATCACTATCCATTACTACCTACACATCCACACACAAAGTACACCATAGCATTTCCATATACATATATAACCCTTTCTTCCTGTGGGTCTGAGTCGACGGTGCTGCCTGACGTATGTTCTTCAAGCCGCCCGCGAGTCGCAGTCGGCTTCCAAATCTCGCCGACGTAACACATAAGGAGTCGTTCTTATCCTTTCTTGTGTGAGTTACGTGTTTTTAGCGTGTGGTTTGTCTAGAAATTTATGTGTTTTTTGTGTTGTGAGTACCTGGTTCATGTAGGTTCAAAGTGGTTTGGTTTATTTTGGTGTGAATTGGTAGGGGTGATGTATTGCAAGCACTGACATTGGCATCTTGCAAGTACTCGAGAGAGAGAGAGAGAGAGAGATGGGAAGAACAAGCAGATCTGAAAGCAATGCAAATTATTATATAACAAGTGATTACAGAACTGGATATAACCGGCTTTTCCATATTTACGTTGGCTGAGAACACTTATCTCAAGGCCAGGGTCAAAGAAATGTCTATATAAGACATAAAAGAGTGACAGCGTCTCATCCAGGATAATTGCACACTTATTATATGAAGTCTTATTGACATGTCTTTCCATACATATTTTATTAAATTATTTTTTTTATGCAACTGGTCTGTTCAAAATTGTTTTTATCACTGTATGCACGTTTATAATTGATTTGTATACCTGTATATAGGCTTCAGTTTGTCGTTATTGATCTGTAGACCTGTATAGAAGTTAAAGTATGACGTAGACTGCATTTTATTACTATTTGACACATGAACACGATCTGCAATTACCCAGTAGACGGGTAGACGTGCAAAATTTTATTAATATAGTAATTGTGACCACATGAAACAGCGAATGTGCGGTGTTTGCGGTATTATGTCGTGTGAACGCGCTGTGTAAATAGTTTGAGATATTGGTTATGGGAACGAGTGAACTCAATACAGACGTACAGTAGTGGCTGAGATGCAGGAAAGATGTATGTATGTTTTTTTTTTTTTTTGTCTTTTCTTTTTCGTTTACCAGTGGTGTATGAAAAACTTTTGCTCCTCCATGCTGGTGGCTAGGGGTCTCTCTCTCCGGTCTCTGTCGTGTCTCATCGGTCACTCCTCTCATCATCTCTGGGCTTCTCGTCTCTCATCCTCTCTTCTCTCTCAAGTCGTATCTCTCGTCGATCTCTCGGCTGGCGATCGGTCCTCGCCATCTCGTCTCTCGTCCGTCTCTCATCTCCTCTCTCTCTCTCTCTCTCTCTCTCTCTCTCTGCCTCGCCTCTGCCTCTGCCTCGCCTCTGCCTCGTGCCTCTGCCTCGCTCTGGCCCTGCATCTGCTCTGCCTCTGCCTCTGCCTCTGCCTCTGCCGTCTGCCTCTGCTCTGGCCTCTGGGCCTCTGTTCCTCTGCCGTCATGCCTCTGCCATCTGGCATCGCCTCTGCCTCTGTCTCTGTCTCTTCTTTCTCTTGTCTCTCTTCTGCTGTCTGAGCTGTCTCTCATCCTCTCATGCCAGTCCGTATCAGTCTCGATCGTCCGAGAGTCTCTCTCGGGTCTCTCCTATCCTGCCTGCGTCTCATGGCATCGAGACCCGGCCGTCAGGTGCTCGTCAGAACCGTCCTTGTCTCCGCTCTCCTTCCCGGTGGACTCGCCAGACTCGGGCTTAGTCCGCGTCTAGCCAGGTCTATCTGGGAGGTGTGTGCGTTCGGTCCGGGTTCGATATCAGACCACCTCCTCAGAGAGTCTGTGGTGTGTACGTCGACTCGTCACCATGTCAGTGAAAGGTGTCTCTCTCTCTCTCTCTGCTCTCTCTCTCTCTTTCTCGCTTTCTTTTCTCCATTTCATCTTTTCTGCTATCTCTCTTTTCTCTCTCTCTCCCTCTCCCTCTCCCTTCTCCACCTCTCCCGTCTCCCTACCCCCCCCTCCTTCCTCCTCGCTCCTTTCTTCCTTCCTTCCTTCCCTCTTCCTTCCTTCTTCCCTCTTTCCTTCTTTCTCCCTTTCTCTCCTTCCTTCTCCCTTTCCTCTCCTTCCTTCTGCCCTTTCCTCTCCTTCCTTCTCTCCTTTCCATTCTGCTGTCCTCCCTTCCTGACACTTCCTTTCTCTCCTTCCTCCTCATGTTTCTTCTCTCTTCCTAACCTACGCCTTTTCTTAGACCTGTCCTCTCTCTCACTCTCTCTCTCATCGTCTCTTCTCTTCTCATCTGCGTTCTCTATCTCATCGTCATCATCTCCTCTCTCTCGGGTTCTCTGCTCTCTCTCGTCTCTCATCTCATCATCCTCTCTCTCCTCTCCTCAGTCTCTCTCGTCCCTCTCGTCCCATCTCTCTCGATCATCTCGATTCTCTCGTCTCTTCTCTGTCTCTCTCCTCGCTCTCTCCTTCGTCTCTTTCTCTCTTCCTAGTCTGACTCCTCATCCTCCTCGTCTCTCTCTCTCTCTCTCCTCTCCGTCGCCTCTCCTGTGCCCTCTCCCTCCCTCTCCCTCTCCTCTCCCGTCCCCCCCCCTGCTGTCCTCGCTCTCTCTCTCTCCTCTGTCTCTCTGTCTCTCTCTCTTCTCTCATCTCCCTCTCTCTCGTCCTCTCCTCTCTCTCTCTCTCATCGTCTATCGTCTCTCTCGTCTCGCTCAGCTCTCTCTCTCTCTCTCTCTCGTCGCTCATCTCTCTTGTCTCTCTCACTCTCCGTCACGACGTCTCACTCTCAACCTTCTCATTCTCAGTAGTCTCAACTAAATTCACTCACGCACTAACTCATCAGTCACCCCACTCACTCATAGCTCACTCAACGTCACGCGTCAGTACTGTCGTACGAGATGATGTCACTCACTCAGTTGTGCGTTGCGGGAGCTGTACCGACGGTGTTGGCTTACCGGTACTGGCGATTCGGCCGGTGAGTTCGATCTAGGGCGTGCTTTGTGAACGGGCAGGGGCGGAGACTGAAGCGCGTAGTCAACTCACATCACTCTCCGTCACTCTCTCTACTCTCTCCCATTGATCAACTCTCTGGGGGCGAGAGTCAGACACTCTCTCAGCCTCTCTCTTTCTCTCTTTTCTCGTCTTTCTCTCTTCTCATCTTTCCTCTCTTTCTCTTTTCTCTCATCTCTCCGTCGGTTGGTCCTTCATATCTTCTCTGCTCTCTCTCTCTCTCGGTCGATCGTTGTCTTCATGTCTCGTCTCCTCTCTCTCTCTCTCCCTCTTCTCCTCGGTCTCACGTTCCGTCACCTCACTCTCGACTACTCTCATTCTCTGGTCACTATCACTTCACCACACAGTCAACTGGCCGCAGGTAGTACGTGATGGTGACAGTCGTCTAACTCACCACACACTTCACCACTCACTCCTCACTCACTCACTCCACTCACTGCAACGGTCACGGTCACATC